GGGCGAGGCGGGCGCCTCGCGCGGGCAACATGGAGGCCGGGCCGCCGCTGCGGGGGGAAGGGGCGCTGCCTGTCTCCCGCAGCCGCCTCTCGGCGCCGCGGCTCGCTCCTGTGCAGTCGGCCAGCGCAAGGCTGGCGCAGCGGTGAGTTGGGGTGTCAGGCTGTAGGGCTCATTGTGTGAGGCCTTCTCCCGCGGCTCGTGGGATCGCTGTTTTGTGGACCCGTTACCAACGGCGTAATTGCGCCCCAGGAATTTTCATCAGACTGTTGCAGAGCTGTGCTGTTTGCAAAGGACCAGCCCTTTTTTTTTTACTAAAGCCATTTGTGTGATGGAGGACAATAGACGGGTAGAGAGATAATTTCTCGTGGCTCGCCAAGAGGTATGTTGGCAGATAGGTGGCAGATCTGTGACTGGGCAGTTACAGGTGATTTGATGAAGGGTTCAGTAAAGCAGCGTGTCTGCATCTTTGCTGGTGTGAGGAATTTTTGGTGAACTGCAGATGGGAGAGAGAGAGTCGATGCAGACCTGATGTCTGTCACTAGTGGATTTTCACTATTTTTAATGGCAGAATATGAATGAAAACTGGTGGGTGGATGCTGCTGTTCATATGCTGGCAATCTCACACTCAGAATTGCCTGACATTATTCTACAGGTTTTGAATGACAGATGAAGTTCAATCACTGACACAGGAGGTGTATGTCAACTATCTATGCTGCTCTTCCAAAAAAAAAAGAAAATCATGGTTGTACGCTCAGTGGTCTTGTTTAGGACTTTGCAGAGAACAGATGGGGTCTCTGACAACATTTTCTGCATTTAGTATTTACAGTTAACATTCTGCACTAAGTACGCTAGCAGCAGGTTGAGTTTGTTAACTTGTACAATATATACACAGATCTGCTTACACAAGTCATCAAAAGAACGCGAAAATCAAGCCAAGAAAGCACATTAGATGCTGAAATTATGGTGGGAGTGCATGACAGAAAGCAGAAAGAATTCCTTCTGTAGACATTCTGAAAAACAATGGAAGCACCACTGGTGATGGATAGAAATACTTGCTGCCAGGATTACCCTTTCAGAGCTTTTCAAATTGGAAATGAACAGTTTTGAACAAGATCCAAGTAAGATTATAAGTACTCTCATTAAGACCTTCACAGAAAATTTCTGTGGTTTTGTGAGAGAATGGATCCAGTGCTATCACTGAAACCTGTAAGAGTTTGTCTTACGGAAAGGATCGATTACTTTGGGCAATAGGGCATGGTTCACAATCTGATCTAAATCCTTCAGGTTTTGACTGCTTCGTGTAAGGAGCTGCACTGAATGTTTCAGCTAAACCTGAGGTGTCCTGTGGCAGAAGAATATTGCCGTTTGATTGAAAAGATTGGCACGGTTGTTGGAAATATGAATCACTGCAATTGTGAAGTATTCTTTTAAGAAATTTTCGCCCTTTGAAATTAAAATGGTTTAGCATCAGTTTAAGTTCTATATAAGATTAGTGTGTAGCATCTACAATCTATAATTTAAACCACTTTTGTGTACTAGTTGTCACGTATTGAGGCTGAACTTTGATAAGGTGTTGAATAGGGAAGAAGCAAGTTTGCAAGGCAGATTATGTCAAGTGAGCTGGAAATATCTGAGTAGTTACTGAACCAAAATAAGACCTTCATGTTTCTTCTAAAAGCAAACAAATACATATGCATTTTGCTTTAACATCATTCCCATTTCATGTCATAATGTAGCAAAGCAATGATCTCTGCATTAGCTTCAAAATAAACCTGAAATGTGTTGTATTTTGTATCCTACAACTTACTGATGCAGCGTTTGATCGTTGAAGACCTAGTGTTCTGTGACTTTACTGTTGGAAAACTGTGCTCTGTTTTGTAGTGTTTCATTGTGTAGCTAGCAGCAGTTACCCAGCAACTTCCCAAACAGAAGTGTTTCAAGCTCTTATATGGCTTTTTTGCAGTACCAGTGCTTTAAAGCAGCCTTCTCCCTGAGTTTTACCAGTGTCTTAATTTGTCTTCTGTTGGTCTTATTTATGGGTATCTCGCAGGGAATTTAATTTAGTCTGCAAATGTGTGTTTAAGATTAGAACTGCCTGAGAAACAAATGGGCCCAGTGATACTTGTATGGTTACGCAAGTAACTGTGAGGACGGCCTTATCCCAGAACGAGAATACACTTCTCAGAGTGCTTACATCATGCTGCAAGTGTTACTAACTAAAACACAACCTCCCCCTTCTTCTCCTAGCATATGAGGATGTAGACTCAGCACTCTTGATTGGAAGAAAATGTCCAAATGTCCCCATGAGGATTTTAAATGGCATAATCAGCCCAGCAACTTTTTTCTTGGAGGTCTTACACCCAAGACCAGTTCTAACAAATTTGCGGTGACTTATATAAGTATGAAATAGGACTCCTACTATAATACTGGGTTCTAATCATCAGTGAACAGAGAAATGGTTATAGGAATGGGTCCTGTGCATTTTACCTTTCAGTAGATACACATAATCTGAACATAAGTCTGGTTTACTTGGGCTTCACAAACTTGAACAGTGACAAGCAGATACTGGGAGTATGTTGCAAACTGGAAGAATGTTTCATTCCCTTTGTTCTTGTAGTGCCTCATTTTTGTTTAATTATACTCTTGTGTACTTCAGTTTAAGACCAGTCATTCCTATTATTACTTTGTTTATGACTGTTAAATACTTCATAACTTTTAAAATATTACTGTTTCTATTCCTGTTACAGACACGTGGTGCAGATCAACTAAACAAATATCTAATTGTTCTTTGCTGGCTAGATTATAGAGAAAGGATTGTAGTAGAAGACTAAAGTTAGACAAAGGAACTGAAGCTGAGTATGTTCTCTGAGTATGTAAGAAATCAAGAAGCATTTCTTTCAGCTTTTGTCCACTCCCAAGGATTATTATGATAAATCATATTGTTCCAGTCCAGGTGTGGTTGTCTGGGAGGCAGACCTGTGTCACTTTGAGTATAAAAGGGATCTGTAAGCATACTCAGGGAAAACACAGTCTTACAATAATGGAAAGTGGTGTGTGTGAAATCAAAATTATTTTTTGTACTGTTTTTTCAGACAACCAAGATCACACCTGTGGAAACTGCACTTTATTTTAGGGATGTAAAGATGTCACAAAAAAGGTGATATGTCTAAATTCTCTTGCTTCTTCTGACGAGTGTTACTCCACCAACAGTCATAGTCTGTAGAATGTAAATAAGCATAACTTGTTTATAATCTAGACTTTGGGAAATCTGTTTATAGCTAAGTGGTTAGAAGTTTCTGTAATTCATGTATAAATCCATCTTCCACAAGAAAATACGGTTACAGTACCTGCCTATAAATATGTGTATAACATTCATACCAAGGTAAATTTTTTTACAGAATCAGGCCTGAAGACAGAAAATCTAAACATAAATGCCATAATCGACTACATTTTATCACTCTGTTTTAACAGGTATCATAGATACTACCAGAAGGATATGCTTCCTGTAATAGAAATCCACTTCCCAAATAGTAATGGGTTCTTTTGACTGGTGTTTTGATTACTTAATGTTAGAAAAGTAGTTTGAGACCCTCAAAATAATTTTAGGAAATTGTATGTCCAAACCATATAATTTTAATGTAGTTACCTGTCATTCCTGTAGTAGTCTTTACCCAGGTGGACACTTCTTAGAAGCCTAATGAGCTTAACTCTGTAGAGAAAAGCTCTTTGCCAGTACTGAACAATTTAGAACTAAAGAACTTTGAAGAATTTTAGGTGGAAGGGAGTATATTCTAAATTTTCAGGTTTGACTCAGCCTTTACTTTCTTTTCAGATTTAATGCTGTGGATAAAGCTAAGGGTGGAAACACTGCTATAGTAATCTAGAGGAATTTATAAGGAGTCTTTCTGCAACATGCTCAGCAGCTAAAGCCCTTCACACTTCAGTGCCTAGAATTGGCCCCAGGGTAGTAATTAATAAAAAGATTTGTTGAGCAGGATGTATTAAATATATGACCAACGTTTAAAGGAGAGTTGTCTAAGGCAGTTGGTTTTAATAAGAAACAGGAATAATAAAGTTTACTAATAGTATTTTCCACTAACTGTGCTTAGTTTGAAATACTAAAATTCTGTATCTGCATATTTAAGCACCCACAAGGAATTCTGCAAGTAATGCAGTAATTTAGGGGCTGGGATTTGCTTAAGGTACTGAGCCTACACTAAGAGTTAAGCAACAGAGAACACTTTTTCCTTCAGTATTTTTCTTAATGTGCCATGATTTTCTGACACTTACCTCCACCATTTCACTTCCTTTAATTTCTTGCTCATGAGAGAATTTTTCTGACTTGCACACAAGCTTCCCATTTACCATGTTCACAGTGCACTGTTGAAGCAAATTTAAAAGTTATAAAAAATTTTAGATTTTGGAATTCAGTTGGAATAAGTAGAGGACTACATAAATAGAAAATAAATTATACTGATGTTTCATAATCACATCTGCAAATTTAAACTGGAGACCACAGCATTTGAATAGGAGTTTTAGAAGAAACATTTATCTTTGTTGAAGTGAAAGAAAGATGTGCTAATGGAAATGGTACAAACAAGTTTTGCTCATACAGAAACCAAAGTACAAGGATGCATAAAGAGATGCACCCATCTCTGAAATATATTACCTTTAGCTTTTTGCCGTTTAAAGTAGTAATGTCAGCTTCTTTTCCAAGTGTAAATGAATTAGTTACAGATTGCTTGGGCGTTTTTGATGTCACAACAAAGTCATCTCCTTTTTGTTGTATTTCAACAACAGGCTTAATATCTTTGGCGACTCTGATAATGTCATCTGGCAATGCTGTAAAAAAAAGCCAAAAATAGATTTTTTTCTGTTACGAAGTAGTGTGTTGATATGAAATAGCAAATTCCTTTCTCTGATAAAGGTACAAAAGATATGAACCAACAATTGAAAGGGATATCCCAAGTTAAAAGACAAATCCTGTTTTGGATTCCTCACTTCTCTTTGGGCACATTGCTCCATTTCATCTAGTCTGTGTAGATTTTGATATTATATTTGTTACTCTTGCGTCAGAATAGGTATTGTGTCTTTCAGTAATGGCTTGCCACGTGATGACATTTCTCCGTGACAAAACCCATGTGTGTACTGTTTTATTTCCCTCACCTCTTCCCAGAGAGATCGGGGGTGGGGGGTTATCTGTCTAGTCAGAGCTGCAACAGCACAATTAGCCTCAAACTCCCTTATCGGGGTGTCTCTAGCATGATTTGAGAGTATTGTCTTCATCAGCAGAGGGATTGGTTCAGGAATTGTACTGTTGGAGTAGGCTTTTCAACTGTAAGTGAATTTTATTCTGAATACCTCTTATAAACTCTTACAAACCCCAGTGTGAATGTTTTGTCAAGACTGTCAAGAAACTGAGGGCATTTTTATTAATGTAGGCACCTACTAAGTCATAACCATCACATCTATTCCTTACAGATTACTAACCAGCTATCACCTCTGTTAATCACCAGCTCTGCAGAAAGTGCCTGCGGTACTAATTGGAAATCTGTATACATCAGTGGCAACATGTTTCTAATTACATGTATTTATCAAGTTATGAGTTAATTAAAACAAACTGATTTCTGATATACCTCTTCTTTCATGAGAGACGCATCACATGTTAAGATAGGGATTTGGGGGTTATCTGTAACATTTCTACATCGATTTATACGATTTTCAGCTGCTTATCATTTCCAAATTAGACGTAACAGATTTACCTGGCAGGGCGCAGTTTGTCATACAAACAAAAGAAAAAAATCCAGAAATACAGTCATAAAAGATGCCATGGAAAGTGTGTTGCAATCTGAGCAAATTATTTCAAAAGTAACTAGAGACTTACCAAGAGCTTTCAGAAACTCTTCGTAGTTCTCTTGAGCATAGACCTGCCAGGTCCCGTTGAACGCCATTGCGGATGTTATAGCGCAGTGTAGGATGGTGATGCTAGCAGGGAGGTGAGGGCTCTCCCTGTTCATTCGGATGCTATTTATTAAAAGGGAAGAGCCAGCTCAAACTGTGAGATGACTGGCTAATTATTAACCCATCAGGTTACAATTATTAATCATTTATTTGTTCTTAATGATCATAACCTCTAGTTCATTCTGTTTTGTGGAGAGTCTTACCTTGACCAGCTGGTTTGGGATGTTATGTTTATTGTGGGTAACTGAACCCGGGTATTCATAATTGTTGTAAAGTGTTGCATAGCTTAATTTGTTTTCTTTTTGTTCACAAATTCTGTGTTTAATACGTTTTCTGTACTTTGGATAGAATTCTTAGATAAAATGCTATAATTTACAATAGATGTGAGGTAATTACTGTCTTACAGCAGGCACTTCATAATTATCACAATATTCTCTCCTATGGGCACTTGAACTTTAAGTGGTGGGAATAAAATCCACAGCTATTTCTTCCAAAATTGTGGGTAACCCATTGCTTGAGGACAGGGAAAATCCTGTTGGAGTGGGCAGTCAATCAGGACTTCAGCCAGAAGATGTCAGTAATGTGCATCTAAAGCTGTATTAGATTCAGTTTATCTTTTTTTTTTTTTTTTTTTTTTTAATAATCCACACGTAGAAGATTAAAGGTAAAATAAAACATGAAGCATTGCTTGGAGGCCAAAAAGAAAGAAGTAAATAGGATCTACTATTTTTCTTCTCACCAATTGCGCCAAGAATTCCTCACCCATTATAGCTGTTGAGCGATATTCCTTGCTGTCTTTGCAAGTGTGACTGTTGATTTTGGAAGACGTTCGTTGGATTATGTGTCTTGCAATTATATTGCTTAATTCAAATAGAGCCTGTATCCCAGGGGTAGCTGACCTTTCTAAGTTAATTTTTATTACTCCATAGGAGTCAGTAATTCTATTTAAATAGAAAACCAGTGCTGACCTTTTACTTACAAATTAACAACTTCTTTTTTAGCATGTATTTAAAAAAAAATAAATCCCACACAAAGAGCCAATTTTGTAATTACATTTGCATATAATAATACCTGAGTAGCGAGGATGAGGTACTGATAATGAATAAGGCCTTATTTATGTGTGGAGTGTAACACAACGTGGCTCTGAAAGGTACATGTTTATATTGCAGTTATTCTAGGCTGTGATTAATCTGTTTTATTCTATAATAATGATGCTATCAGAATGATAATGATGCTATCAGAATGATGCTATCAGAAGGGCCTGCTTCATTCGCTGTAAGATCATAGACTCATGGAATGGTCTGGGTTGGGAGGGACCTTAAAGAACATCCAGTGCCACCCCCTGCCCTGGGCAGGGACACCTCCCACTAGCCTAGGTTGCCCAAAGCCCCGTCCAACCTGGCCTTGAACCCTTCCAGGGAGAGGGCAGCCACAGCTTCTCTGGGCAGCCTGGGCCAGGGCCTCACCACCCCACAGGGAAGAATTTCTTTCTTAGATCCAATCTAAATCTCCCCTCTGTCAGTTTAAAACCCTTACCCCTCATCCTATCCTATTCCTACTCCTCTGATCCAGAGTCCCTCCCCCCTTTCCCGCAGCCCCTTTCAGCCCTGGGAGGCCACTCTAAGGTCTCCCCTGAGCTTCTCTTCTCCAGCTGAACCCCCCAACTCTCAGCCTGTCCTCACAGGGGGGGCTCCAGCCCCCTGAGCATCTTTGTGGCCTCTTCTGGCCCTGCTTGAGCAGGTCTGTGTCCTTCTGCTGTTGGTGCCCCCAGAGCTGGACCCAGCACTGCAGGGGGGTCTTCTCAGAGGGGGAGAATCCCCCCCTCGCCCTGCTGCCCACCCTGCTCTGGGTGCAGCCCCGCACACCGTTGGCTTTCTGGGCTGCGAGTGCACGTTACTGGCTCACAGGCAGTTTTCCAACCATCAACACCCCCAAGTCCTTCTCCTCGGGGCTGCTCTCAGTCCACTCAGCCTGTGTTTGTGCTTGGGGCTGCCCTGACCCATAGGCAGGACCTTGCCCTTGGCCTTGTTGAACTCCATGAGGTTGGCACATCCCACCTCTCCAGCCTGTCCAGGTCCCTCTGGATCGATCCCTTCCCTCCAGCATATTGACCACACCACACAGCTTGTTGTCTGCAAGCTTGAATCTAGACAATTAGCTAATCTCTCACTTTTCAATATTATGACATTTAAGAATATAAATTATATACTGTTAATTTAAAGTAACGTCTGAAATGTAACTGCCTTTCGTCAAATGGTTGGTAATCCTGTAGAAGATTGCTCTGCTCATTTACGTTGACACTGGAACATCAGTGTCCCTCAAACAACTGGGAAAAATACTGCTGTTGTGAGGAGAGTTTATAGTAGTTTGTGGAGCAAGGCAGGATGCTATTTCACTGAATAAATAAGTTTAGCCTAATGGCTGTATTAGGAATACAATCACTTTTTTATCTCTCACTGATACAGTTGTACTGGTAGAAGCTGGGAGTTTAGCTGTGGCTTCAGAGCAGTTGAAAGACCAGTTTCTTCTATATCTAGAATAATTTAACGTAACTAATAAACCTAAAAATATCTTTAGTTCTAAATAATATAGGTATCCAGTAGGATGGAAGGATCTGAGTTCACTTCTGTAGACTTTCACTCCACCCTTTTGTGTAAATGTCTTACTGCATGTCAGTGCATATACAGAAGCTGGATGTGTTCCTCCGTAAAGCCCCAAGCCCTGAAAATGTCCCTGCCTCGTTTTCTTCCCCTGTGGCTTAGGTTTGTAAAGGTTTGTACTTCAAGGCCCTGATTCTGCATGGTACATAGGAAAATTCCTAACTTCCCATACACACACAGGCCGACTGATTTCAAGATGGATGTGCTTGACAACAGTGCTGAGGTGTCACCAAAGATATAAGTTTAATAATACACACACACACACAAGCATTTGTCAGCTACAAGATAATCAGCAACACGTGGTGATTTAATACAGAAAAACGCCACGAAAGCCTGGTTCTCATATGTGAATCCTCTGGTATTTCCCACACAGATTTACTAGGACAGAGTTTCTCTGTAAGGTGAACATGCATGTACACACACACACACACACACACACACACACACACAAAGTGTTTTCTAACAACTGGACAACTACAACAGTAAAAGTACTAAAATATTACTAAAATAAAAATAGAGACATAAGCCTGAATTTTAGGGCACAGACACTGACAGGAATCCAAAGGAGTTAAATTCCTTTTATAAATTCAATGAGACATAATTGATTAATTCATTTAGGCTTTTTCATTATAGTCCCACGTGGGACTTCCTCTTCTTCCAGTCCTGCTGGTATCTCTCCATGCTTGTAGACACTGATAGTAACCTGCCCTGTTTCAGAACCATACTTGTTCTTGACATAGATGCTGTATTTTCCTGTGTCTTCATTGCAGACTTTCTCTATGGTAATTGTGACAACTGTCCCCTTCACATCCATTTTGTAACGATCTTTAAAGACAATAACCTTCTCATTTTTCAGCCAGGTGATTTCTGGGTAAGGATCTCCAGATATACAGCAAGTTAAACACAGGGTCTATTGTAAAACAGATAGCATAAAGAGATTATGAAGGTAGAAATGAGCAAGGAAATTCAGTTGATGAGAAATTAAGAAAACTAAAAATCAGTTCGGGAGAGTGTGGCTTAGATTTCCTTTTCCTGATATCTTCTAATATAATCGGGATTAACCTGACTGAAATTACCGGGCCTGACTCATATTTGTGTACTGTCTTTTTATAGCGTTCTTATACTGTCAAGTGACACTTAAATGAATTTGCAATTACTTTACAGGATTTTTATTCTGCTTATGTACCAGTAAAGGGGAATGTAACTCAGAAATGTAAGCAGCAAGTTGACATGATGGAAAAATCAAGTCCAGCACTTAAAAGGCCTTAGTCTAATCGTATGAAATGGGAAGACAACAGAGAAGATCTGGCTGTAAAACAGACCTAGGAAGCAGTAACATCCAAAACCTGCCAAAGGAGGTTCCGAGCCACAAACAGCACCTGTATGTGCAGAAGCACATGCGTGGCTGGAAGCACCGTCAGCAATATAGGGGGCTGGTGCAGGTATTGTGGAAGGTACCACTGCACACCTTTGGCAGTTGCTTGGAAAAGCTCCTGGGAACATAAAGGAGGGGAAAACAAGTAGTTTTCTCCCCATCAGTTATTCTTCTGTGCCTGTGCAAGGGCCAGTTATACGAACAGTTACTCAATGTTACCTTGTCCTCCATGATGGTGGCAACATCTGGCAGGCCTTGAACAACTCTGGCGCGACCTGGGAATGAACAAATATGACCTTTTAGTTTTACTTATCAGCGTATCACTTGGCTTTGTTTTGCAGAAGGAAGGAAATTACTTACGCTTTTCTGCTATTGCTGCTTCCCTGAAAGTAAGAGAGAGAAAATTATAGTGGTTATTAGGCAATCATTATTATTAGGCATTGTATTCTTGGTGCAGAATATGACACCTGGAATTGAATTCGATGTGAAAATATTTAGGCAGGAACTTACTTTAGCCTTCTGTGCTCAGCCAGGGCTTCTTCGAAAGCTGCAAGGAATGAAAAGAATTTAGGGAAAGTTGCTGTTTATTTCATTTGACTTAGTAGATTTAACATAATGCGTCAGTGTTGGAATTACAGGTGTCTGGGCACAGAGGTAGGTATAATCATCATCTAGACAGTGTCTGTATCTGCCTTAAGGAAATAGGACTCGATTTATGTACTACAGAAATAAGTGGGACCTAGTACTCCCTTTCCAAAGAGAAGTCCAGAGGAGGAAAAAAAAACCCGACTCAGTTTGGAAAAGTCTTTGTAAACCTGAAGCCACGTTTTCTTTTCCAAGATGTGACCTGTGAGCCCCTGTTGGCCTCTGGAGGAATCGGACACATCGCAGGAGCAGCTGCCCTCCCACTCATCCTTTCTGCAGGAGAGCCTTACTCTATAGCAACAAGGCTCCCTACAGGCTTCAATCCTTCCTGCTGCACACTTCTCCTCTCCCCCTGTTCTCCCTGACTCCTGTGGGCACCTCATTGTCCTTCTTAACCCAATTTCACAGCGCGCTATCACAGAACCGCAGCTCCAGCTCAAATAAAGGAGAGAGGAATCACTGCCCATGATTTGAAAGAATCTTGGAAAGCAGCTCAGGTATATCTCATTCATCTGACGGTATTGTTGACTCAGCTTACCTTGTCCAGACAAGTCTGTTGACAGTTTGTGAGAGTTGTTCCCATCAAATAACTCCAGGGTGTATTTTCCCTTATCTGCATCTGTTGGGTCCAGTATGTGAAGCCAGATCTGATTCATTGTGCTCCCAGCTTTCAGCCTGTCACGGCTTTCCAGTTGTTTCTCCCTAAGTAAACAAATGATACCATTTTAATAGTATTTAGTAGGGCTGTATAAGTTAGAACATTAACTTTTTTTAGA